AATACTTTGCTATTTGGTGATAGACAATTACCTGATAAAACTAATTGTTCAATTTTGAAGCAGTCCAACTGTACATCAAGTTTTCAAAGCAATTTTGATATTATTTCTTATTTAAGTTTTAATATTAATTTCCTAATATTTTTTATATTTATACTTATTTCAAATCTCAGCATTTCCATGTACATGTACATATATTGTAATTTTTTTTCTTGGATATTTGTCTTTTGCACTCTCATTCTTTTTTTTTCTAATTATTATACAGTGTTTTTGCTTGTTCCAGATGTGTTTATTTATTATTATTAATATTATTTTCTTCGTTTTTTTTCCTTACATATTTGTCTTTTGCACTTTATTTGTTTGCTTATTCTATTTTGTTGTTTGTTTGCTCTCTTTTATTTTTTCATTATATTGTATAGTGAGTATACATGCTAAGTAATAACTCTTGTGAATTTAACAATTTATCTCTCCTTTTATCCCATTTCTAGTTAACAAAAGAAATTAATGTAACTTAGTATGAATTATTTCATCATGATTGTAAAACATTGTCAATTCTTAACATCTGTAATCCTGACCTTTTTGGAGAGGACTTATATAGGCCATGCCTGATGTCCAATCCAATTATGTAAACTGACTTTACATAATAAAATACTGATTAAATTAAACATACTAAACTAACGGAACATTGCTAAAGTTATCTTAACATTATATTAACTTTTGCACAATACTAGGACGTTGGACTAAAGCTTATTAAGGTTTATGTTTCAATTACAATTTATTTTATAAAATTCCAGGATTTTGTACAAATTTATTGAATAACTTGTTTACTTGAATCTGATTTGTCTATTTCATATGTAAATGAGTATTACGTATTGTACAGCTGTTGTACATTATAAAATACGATCTACGGCGCTCTTCGAGAGAGCCACTATACGATCATCTGTACGACTCACAACTTTCAGTCAATAAACTCTTTGCAAACATTTTGGTTTCATTGGCTTACAGTAAGAGGACTTCAGAATATATGTTTTTGATAATTCTCACCCTAAAACATTAACACATTTCACATGTATAACATTTCCGTCAAAACCGGAAATTTTTATGTCAAACTAAATTCTAAACCTCACCGTAATTCGAGGTTTTCCGGGAAAATGCCAAATTTTACACAGTTAATCGTGATTTACACATACAGCACACTCGTTACCGCAAAATATTAAAACAGAAAAAAGGATAACAACTATTCGAGAAACATTTTCCAATAAAAATATTTTGCGGTAACGAGTGTGCTCATTTTGAAAAAAAAACAACAGAAATCCAGTGCGTGTTAAAATGCTATGGCCACGATCCATCATATGTGTCTCAGTGCTTTACACAAACTTATAGGATCGATTCATGAGCTATATATATATATATATATATATATATATATATATATATATATATATATATATATATATATATATATATATATATATATATAGGTAGATAGATAGATAGATAGATAGATAGATAGATAATGTAAGTGGAAACGCACTCATATCCCACATGTAAAAAAAATGTTAAATGAGGCGTCTTTAGGCATATCAGACGATTGGAATATAATAATAATAATAATAATAATAATAAACTTGATTTCAAGAAGGTAACCAGATTAGTGCAAGCACTATTCTTCCCCGGGGCCTTCTGTAGACAAAAATCAATATACATATACAAATACACACAATCAATAAATAATCATGAATTATTGCGACATTGTTTTACATATCTTTTAACTTGGTGCTTGAAAGCATTGATTGTTGGAGACATTTTTATATATACAGGTAAATCATTCCACAACATAGCACCAGAGTATTGGAAGGAATTTTCAAAGAGTTTACATTTATGAGCTGGAACACACAGGTCTAAATTGGATTCAGATCGAAGATTGTATCGATTATTACACTGGAAATCAAACATACTATTTAAATAAGTAGGGTTAGAGTTAAACAGTGATTTATATAACAAAACATATTTATTTACAGTAAGTTGCTCATACACTGTGAACCAATCAAGTTTCTCAAAGAGAGGTTGTGAGGGCGCATCAGGGGGAGCATCTAAAATATACCTTGCAGCACGTGTTTGAAGCTTATGAACTCGGTCAAGATTTGAGTGAGACGTATTACCCCACACGGTTAAACAATAATCAATTGAAGGCATAATATAAGCATTGTAAAACAGTTTGCGTGTTTGAATAGGAAGAAACTTTTTTAATACGCCAGTTTCGAGATAGGAACTCTCCTATTTTAAAGGCGCAAATAACACTCCAGTTGACGCGGAAGGTGGGACACATCGTCAAGGAGAACGTAAACAATCCTATATATAGACGCGCTAAAGAGAAACATGTCGTTAAACATCGATTTAATGCTGAAACCACAGCTTAAATTGTTTTTAATTGAACGAGGAATGACTGTCAGTGATTATAATGTGTACCAACTACGGGAATTGGCAAAAAAAGCTGTGGATTTAAATTTGCCCGTCTTGAAACCCCCCGATGATGCTCGAGACTTTCTGCGCCAGAGAAGTCGAGTAATTATTGATGGAGAGGTTATTCAATTTCCAGTTGTAACATCCCAGGGATTAAAAAATGGACTGATGATTTAAAACATATTCCAGTATTTTGTCAAGCGGATGTATTTGTTTATTTACTGTCCAAGGCTGATGCCTGGTCTCCCACTCGTCTGCAAAATTACAAGTGTGAACACGGTTACAGATTGTATCAATCTAATCATATTCACTCTGTCCAATGCCATGACTTGACTCATAACCATCTATATGTGAAATCATTATGCATTAGAGAGACATCACAGTCTGCTGATCCCTATAGGACCTGGTGCCTCTTGAATTGTACTGATGGCAGTTGCACTTCTGCTGGTTGTGATTGCACTGGGTAAATAATGATTAAAACTTAAACAATAAATTATATTCATAAACATTATTAAAATTACAATCATTGCTATTATACTGCAAAGAAAAAAAAACCAAAGTCTCAAGATAATAATTTATTATTACCACATCTGTTGACTTATCAACAGGTTATATACAAGTAACCTGGCAATGAATTCAAATATTATCATAAATAATAATTATTATTATTGTCAGATAAATACACATTTACAATAAAATAAAATTAATTGCACCAATTATGAGGAATCCTGTAAATATTCATTGAAACAAACACATAAAGGATTTAAATAAAAATTATAGAGCTAGTACTGTAGTACAGAAAATATTCGCAGCATCAAGCATCTTTGAGATGAGTTATGTATATTTTAGAGATGATGGTGGATGTAAACATGTTGTGGCCCTATTGTTCAGTCTGGCAATGTGGTCCGAGAGGCATATTGATAGAAACACAGAAACGTGCACTGACAGAAAATGCACCTGGGATGTTCCTCGTTGGGAATCAAAACCAAAACTGTTGGATGAAATTGAACAATCAACTGAAAAAACTCGCATTCGTCCATTTGAACATTGCTTTGACCCTACTACCATAAGTCAAAACAATTGTGATGTTGATAATATGCTTTTAGATTTAGTAAAAGGTTCTGACACCCAAATCATTGAAGTTCTTGACTTATCTATTGATGATAATGTACAAAATATACCTAAAACTTTAAAACAGTGCATTTCAAACTTTGACCCTAATGGCAATTTATCAATTTTTGACTACTTATCTACATGCATTGTTGAAACAGATTGTAGTGAAATTAACAGGCTTACTGAACAGCAATCAGACTCAGTCTATTGGTATAAATACAGATTTAGGAGAATTACTTCATCAACCTTACACAATGCTTGTAATTTTAAAGGAAGTGACCCCAATAATTACATTGTTAAACAAATTTTGAGTACTGACTGTAGATCATTTTCAACACCAGCTACTGTTTATGGTAAAGAAAGAGAAGTTTTAGCAAGAAATTTATTTGAAAAAAGTATATTGCAGAACACATGGGTGGAAAAGTTAAAATATCTGGTCTTGTTATTGATTCCAATAAACCTCATCTTGGTGCTTCACCAGATGGAATTTTACAGTGTCGATGTTGTGGAACAGGTATTCTTGAAATTAAATGTCCATACAAATTTAGAAATTACACTTTAGATAAGATTTTCAATGAAAAATATCATATTAAAATGGATGAGAATGGTTGTATGAAATTAAAAGAGAACTCAAATTGGTATACTCAAATTCAAACACAAATGGCTGTTGTAAATGTACAGTGGTGTGATTTTGTTTTGTATTTAGAAGGTGATGTCACCCCTGGAAAACACAACATTTACACCGAAAGAATTTATTTTGATCCATCCCTGTGGAATTCATTGTTTGAAAAATCAAAGATATTTTTTGAAAGATTTTTATTGCCAAAGTTGCAAGGAATCTAATATCTGCTAATTCTTTATATGCTCTTTTTGTATGTTACTTGTTGTGATTAACTTTTTGGTTGCAAATATTTCATGCACATATATGTAGCTAGCTGCTTAGTTATTAATATCATAATATGCTATATAAAAGCATGCTCTTCGTGAATATAAATTAACTTGATGACAGTTGAAATACATATTGCATTGCATGTAATAATTTTTACAATAATATATGCTAATGCTTTATATGCTCCGTTTGTATGTGACCTGTTGCGATTAGCTTTTGGTTGCAAATATTTCATGCACATATATGTAGCTACTGCTGAATTATTAATATTATAATATGCTATATGATAGCATGCTCTCTGTGAAATATAAATTAGCTTTATGACACTTGAAATACATATTGTATTAATAATTTTCACATTAAAAATACTAGAATAAAATATTAATAAATATACAACATGAACAACTATATATACGAGTTGTATTGATTATCAACCTGACAAATTTCCAGCAAGTTATATTTTTGTAATTATCAAAAATTAACCAAGAAAAATTATTTTAAACATGTAGTGCATTTTCTTAATTTTTTTTTTTTTTTTTTTTTTGGAAATTCAATTACCTTCTAACTAATGGTGGCATTAAGTTGCATAAAAATGCTGCAACTTTTATCATCTGATTCATTATTGGTTTTAAAGACCATGGAATAATATTTCCAACAAGTCTGAATAATTTTAGTCTCTGGATGGCTCTTTCTACATGAATTCTAAGCTTGGCAATTTTTCTGGTTTGTTTTATTTCAATTACATTTAACAGTTTCTTTTTTCCCCAAGCACACTTTCTAGTAAAGGGGGGAATGTTTAGTGTAGCTTTTTTATTTGTTATCAAATCTCTAATTGTAAACCCACGATCAGCCATGATATCGTCATCTTCCTCAACAAAATCTAAAAATCCAGAATCATGTGAAATAAATCTGTCTGATACATTGCCACCATAAACCTTTGATACAAATATAAAAGTTCCTGAAGGGGATATAGCTAGTAGACATTTACCTGTATTCTTAGATTTGTAACTGCTGTATGTAGCTGCCTGAGCAGTAGGTGATCGAGGACGCTGAAAGAAAAACTCTGTGCAATCTTTAACTGCACGTGTGTTTGGATAATTTTTTCTGAAAGACATTGGCATATATTTTCTGACCTGATTTCTAGTTGGCCACCTTATTAGATACCCAAAAACATTTAACATGAAAGTAATCCATGTTATGAAAATTTGTGAAACTCTAGATTTTGATATTCCAAACACATCTGAAAGGCAAAATTCATAAATTCCTAAGCGTAAACGAACAAGTGTCAATATGAATTCATGAAAAAGAGACAGTTTTCTTGTCGGACCAGGTTTCTTGTGTCTGGGGGTTTTCTGGTAACCTTTTTCTTTGGCACTTACTTGGCCGGACCAATACTTAAGAGCATTTGGAAACAAGTATGTTGAATATTCCTAATAGCAGGGCAAGAGATGGTAAACCAGTATATGATCTAACATTTGCATCATTTTTTGTTATGTTTTCAACAAAAGCATCTCTTAAAAGTGATGATTTATCAGCTAATTTTGCTTTCAGATGTTTGTTCTCCTCACTCAACTTTGTAATGTCGTTCATGGTCAGTTCTGTCTGCATAGACATGTCTGCGACATTAGGTAGGCCCTGAGGTGCTGCTATGTAGGAGTGATCAGATGAAGGAGGACTTCTTTCAGTATCTTCAAACTTCTTTCCACTGATTAAAACTAAAAAATATATAAACTTACATAATTATTTTTCACTGTATTAAGTTTAATTCAAATAGTATATAAGAATTAAATATTTTGATGTCTTTTGTCTGATCAGAATAAATTTGTACCATTAGACTTTGCATCAGAAAGCTCTACTTCACCAACAACATATGGGATTGAGTTATCTTCATACATGCAGAACTCAGCTGAGGTTTCTGTAGATACTTCACAATGTTCCCTCAGTGGTTCAAACCCATCATTTACAGGCTGGTCTGTGTTACTGGAGTTACAAGTTGTTCTGTAATATAAATTATACTAAATTAAATACATTTATATACACATGTAAGAATGGACCTTGCATTTTTTTATATTTCCATGTAAACATGTACTTGCATGCATGAATACAAAAGGATTTTTTTTTATTTTTACTTAACATTTAAAATAATAGATTGATTTTTATGTCAGGCAATAATTTTATTGCGCATAAGTAGCATACTACAGTATATGTTTACAAAACCTTTCAAGTAGGATAATCATTTGAAATCACAAGATCGATCATGATCGATAGTTATGTCAGATTACTTTCAATTGTAAAAAGATTTGATGATTGTGCAAACCTTTTCTTAGATGACTCTTTAAAATTGTTGTAAGGAAAAAGCGTTGGTATGTCACACTCACTGTCGAAATGTAATGAGCATATTCGAGTATATTTGTTTGGGGTCCATGTCTTTTCTCGTCTGATCATTTTAATCCATAGATTTCGCTTTATTTTTCTCCGATTTTTTTGGTAACGAAAAAAAAATTACGTCTTTAAGATGAGGATACTTTGATAAATTTAATTGTTTCCGAGTAGACGAAGTGCACCCGGGCACACAACAATGATAAACCGGCATGTTGGTGATTACGATATATGCACAGTGTTTCCAATGTAAACTGTCCCACCTTCCGGTTTACGTGGAAACAAAACTCACCTCCGCGACGAAAGAGCGCATCAAGGGAAGTAATCTCGAAACTTGCGTATTCTACGGAGGGCAGAAATTTTACGTGACAGCGTTTTACACACATGGTCAATATGTACACTGTATTGTAAGGAATTATTTAAATAAACTCCGAGGATTTTTCATTTGATACAATGTCTAGTTTTTGGTTTGATACGCATAGATTAAATTCATGCTCAGAGAAATTTGATCTCTTTTGATTCGTACCGTCTAACATGCATTTAGTTTTTGTAGCATTTAGAACCATTTGATTCTGAGAACACCATTTTGCTATACAAGCTATATCCGTTGATAATGCATCTACAATAGTATGGAAATCTTTGCTGGATGCATGTAAAGTGGCATCATCTGCAAATAAGTCTATTTTGGATTTTGTAATACATAATGGAAGATCATTAATGTATAATAAAAACAGAAGAGGTCCTAGTATAGACCCTGTTGAACTCCCGCTGTGACTTGCTGATAAGATGAATGTTTGTTGGACAGATGGACACTTTGAAGTCTGTCACTTAAATATGATCGGAACCATTGTAAAGTTATTGCATCAAAATTATAACATTGTAGTTTTTTAAGTAGAATATCATGATTTACGAGGTCAAAAGCTTTACTGAAGTCAAGAAAAACAGTACCAAAAATTTTTCCTTTGTCCATTTCATTTAACCATTCATCTGTAATTTTTGTAAGGGCTGTAGTTCTCTGAAGCCTGATTGATATTCTACTATAAGATCAAAGTTCGTAAAAAGAGATCGTATATACTCTGCCACATGTTTTTCAATAATCTTGGATAATGTTGGTAAAATGGAAATGGGTCTATAGTTATTTGGATCTAATCTGTTTTCTTTTTTATAAACTGGAGTAACTTTTGCAAGTTTTAAACTCTCAGGGAAAATGCCAGATATGATACTTGTATTTATAATATGGGTCACAGGTTTATGTATTATTTGTGATGTAAGTTTCAATAGACGTGGCCCGATGGTATCGACACCCGAAGATTTACTAATATCTAGTTTATTGAGGAAAGATAGTACTTCGTCATGAGTAATAAGCGGAATACCAAACATGTTTGTACCCAGTTTAGACTTTACAAAGTCCAAAAGACCTGTAAAGTCATTTTCCTCCTTACTTACGCCTGCAAGAAGTTCTTCAGAAATATTTGAAAAATGAGAATTAAACATTTCTACCATTTCTTGTGTATCCTCTGTGATATTATTTTTTGCAAGTGCGGCTGGAATATAATTATGTGATTTAGAAGCTAAATTGTTTAATACATCCCACATCTGTTTTGGACTTTTGTTTTGTTCTATAGTTGTTTTGTAATAACTAATCTTGGCGTTTTCAATAAGTGATGTAACTTTATTGCGCCATATTTTGAAATTTTCGAAGTCTTTATTTTTATGAAGGTTATCGCGCATGTGTTGTGCTTGCAGAATTTCTTGAGTTAACCATTTAGGTCATGTGTCGTGCTTAACTCTTTTTGTTTTTACTTTTGCATGTTTATCTAATACAGCATTAAAAAGTGAATAAAATTTCCTTAGTGCTTCATTTGGGTCAGAGAATAATTCTAATGATTGGAAATTTACCTCTTTTAAGTTTGCAAGAAAATTATTTTCATTAAATTATTTGAAGTCTCTGTAGGTTATTTCTGTGTGTTTGAACTTGTTGACGTTATTATTTAATTTTCTTGTAAAACAAACAGGATAGTGGTCAGATATTGCAATTGATGGTAATGCAGATTACATATGTTTTCTGGTAGGGTAGTATATATATGGTCAATAAGGATTGATGAGGTATTTGTTATTCTTGTAGGTACATTAATTAGCTGTGTGAGGTCATATTCTTCAAAAGCAGAGGTCCAGTATCTTGGGGGGGTCTTTAATAAGGTCGATATTAAAGTCACCTGTTAGAATAATTTCAGCATCGTCACAGCGGGATGCACAATTTATTTCCTGTGTTAGACTTTCTACCCAGCAGGTGGTGGCAGATGGGGGCCTATATGTGGTACAATAAAAAATTGGTTTTGAATTTGGGATATTAATTTCAAGCCATATTGTTTCAATGTTACCTACTTCAAAATCATTTCGACGTTTGTAATGCAAATTATTGGAAACATAAACCATTAATCCTCCCACTGATTTCAATAATCTATCCTTTCTCTCAAAATTAAATCCTTCAATGTCTAATTCACAGTTGTCTGTTTCCTCATTTAAAAATGTTTCACAGATACCAAATACATCCATGGAGCGATATCCTGATAAAAGAATCTTAAGTTGGTCAATTTTAGGCAAGATATGACATATATTTAGATTCCCAAATCTAAGACCTTTCTTGATGAGTCCAAGATTATTTAAATATTTATTTGGAGTTGTCTTTCGTGATTGATCATTATTTTCAGAAATTTTGGAATTAGAATTTTGTTTAGATGAACTAGTAATCGAGGATGTACAAGGTTTCTTATGAAATACTTTTTTGACAGAATTTACATCTTAGTTACTGATTGACTGCGCAGGAAACATAAAACTATTAGCTAGATCCGATCCTACTGATGGGTCATTGGTACTGTATACACTACAGATATATGAACATTGCATGAAATTTCAATTCAGCCGAGCCCCTCGGTTTGTACGGACCGCAACATTTCTCAGTAATCCACGGGTTCGGATTCGCTGGAGGATTGAACTTCCTATTACAAGTACAGACTTTCCGGTTGGAACGTCAGTCACCAGTTGTTGGTTCTATTGTCTGCTAAAAGTTTTCTGCTCTCTTTGAGCCGACATGGTTTCTGGGGAAGTTGAAGATTCCCTCGTCTCCACTCTAGTACACTGTGTATGTCTTGACATGCCTTGTACTTTGGTATCCTTAATGTCCCGTGTATCAACAGCTTTAGTTTTCATAAGTGGTTCCCTTGTTTGAGTAGTTGCATCTACTGAATGAGTGTTTTTAATTTGAAGAGTATGTAACTCCATTTTCAATCTGGCAACTTCCTCAGAGAGATCAGTAACAGACTGTGTTTTTGAATAATTTGAAAGCTGTTGCAGTTCTGACATGGTCTGCTTTCCATATCTTGTAATTTACAAGGTTTAGGGGTGGAGGTATTTTGTGGCTCAAGCATCCCTTCAATTTTATTAACCTCAGTTATTGGCAGATGAGGAATTTGTCCAATGAATTCTCTAAGCCAAGTAGATCTTTCACTCCCTTGGACATGGATTGTTTGAGTTGATTTGTATAGTGTAGTCGTAACATTGCCATTACTTGATTTATAGATATTTCCATTTTTAAAACCAGTTTTGGTAAACAAAAGGTCATTGTTTAGAATGGTCACAATGTCTTCAGACTTATCCTCATCATAGTTCAAGGTAATGTTCTGTTGATTGAATTTCATCCGTAAGAAATCTGGTACATCAATTAAGGAATCTTCATCATCAGCATTGGAATTTCCTTGTGAAAATGAAAGTCCCAAAGTATCCAAAATAGATTTGAACAGACTTGTATTTTCATTCAGATTACTTGATTCCATTATTTACCATGATCAGCAGCATAGGTAATTACTGATAAGAAGGAGCATTGAAAAACACGTCTGGTCACCTTGAGAGCTTATCACAGTATTTGCTGGTTTTAAAAAGCGTTAAAAATGCCGATTTATCAACAGGTTTTTCCCCCCCAAAGTTCTAGATGGGGTCACGGGCAAGAACAACTTTCATACTTACTATATGTATAAATACCACAAATACAAATCTTTATGTCAACTATTAGCGTTGTTTGTGCTTTGAAAAATACGAAATTTGACATTACTTTTGAATTTTTGATGCTTTCAAAAATCCGGTAATTTCAATAGCCAATTGCTAATGGGTGGCTCATATTACACTAAAGATCCATAGATAAGACACAAGGCGATAGAAAAGCTGTCGATTGTTTGTTTTTAAGACACTAAATGTGGTCAAGAATCTAAAATTTACATTTTCTGAAATCATATTTGGAAAAAAAAAGCATGGGTGTAAATTATGATCATGTATGTTGTACATGACGTTACTCGTTATACGTCATTTTTGACGTCATAGAAGATACATGCAATTAATATTGCGGTTAAAATGCTTATCATAAAAAAAAAATCGAAGGCTTTTTATGGACCTGATTTTCTGTCGTTTTGTTAGATGCATTTAATTAGAAATGGGAAAATTATCTAAAAAAGATATCATTAGAAATTTAGCATTGAGATAATTATCAGAAATATCTCTGTAAACTAGATCCAAAATAGAACTCATGTGCTGATCTGTCAGATGCACATGCCCGGCTTTAATGAATCCCCATATCGGTACATACAATATTTATATCTATTTGTAGCATCAATCAATCTTTATTTTTGTAACTTCATGTCAACCATTTCATTAAAAAAAAAAACCGCGTGATATCTTATGGACCTGCATAAAAACGTGAAAAGTAACGTTCACCCTTCTTAAGAAAGAATGCTGTCTGGTTTCAACACATTTGAAATATGTTTCCAGAAACAAGATGCATATTTTACATATATGACCCTTGACATTGTTTATTATAAGCAGAGAGATGGAAGTGCAAGTGGGATGTCAAAAAAAAAAAAAAATTGAGAGAAGGAAGAAAAGGGAATTGAAATATGTTTCAAAAAATTCAGATTTATTTAATCGTTACTACACTAATATAAATAACGAGTAAAATGTGTACATATAAACTTGTGTATGAATTGTTTCTGTCAAGTTCTCTTGACCAGCACCTCCCTTGTACAAATAATTGTACACTGATAAAAAATTAAGCACAATATACATGTATATGTGCATTGGCAGATCCAGAGGGGGTTCCGGAGGTTGGAACCCCCTTTATTTTTCCAGAGAGAGAGAGAGAGAGAGAGAGAGTTCTGTAATGTACCGGTAGATATTTTACGGCTAACATTTTTGAATAAAATAGGTAGTTCAATATCTGCACTCTATATAGAGTTTCGCGTATTTGCTTTCCTCGATCCGTGTACCTTTACTATCCAGGCCCCGGGCCCCAACCACTCACAAGTAACATGCAAGGTTTCACTCTGATTATCATCAGTAAGATTCCGGCGAACTTTTAGCTATGCAATTTTTGGACTATCTTCCGAAGTATCTAACTTTAAGAAGTACACTTATACATAAAACGTTATGAAAGGGAGTGTGCATAAGAGAATATATTTCTCTCCTTATATTATGGAGATATTTTAATCAATGAAGAAAAAGATTTTAAAATGTTCCCGTATAATGCAGGGTGAGGGGGCTCACTTTTACGGAGAATAATCTTGCTGTAGTTTTAATACGTAAGTTTTGATTTGGATCCCCCCATTTCTTGTTGCCCAAAGGTAAAAATGCGCAAATTCATGTATTTGAGGAGAAAAATGTACTGAGTAGTTAGAGGAAGCCCCCCCCCCCTCCTCCCCGAAATAGGATTTTAGAGCGTGGTGCACAGGTGTTTTTTGTTTGTTTGTTTGTTTTTTTTTTGCTTGTCAACTTTCTTTGAAGGTTGCCCCCTTAGAAAACCGTTTCAATAGGCTTGAAGTGCCTGTGGTGTGATTCTATGCATGAGTGTCTGTGGCACAGACCTGGAACCCCCCCTTTCAAAAATTGCTGGATCCGCCCCTGTGATTAGTTAACTTAAGGCCCGTAATACGAAAGGAAGGGGGGCATTGCCAGTTTCCGGCTTTCATGATTGAACCAGTAAAAAAAATTAAAAAAAAATATATGAGTCAATGATAGATACCAACACCAAAACATCGACCCTTCCTTTTTTTGACAAGGAAAATAAACCAGTTCGATGATTGATTGATTGTATGTTGTTTTACGTCCCATTCGAGAATTTTTCACTCATATAGATACGTCACCATATACCGGTGAAGGGCTTCAAATTTTGACCTTTACTCGGCACTCAGGGCCAATGAGCAGTGAGGGATCTTTATCGTGCCAACGCCTGCGTGACACGGGGCCTCGGTTTTTAAGGTCTCATCCGAAGGACCCGCAACTTTCACTTGAAAGTACCGAGCGCATCGCGAAGGAACAGTTGCTACCCATTTTTTTTATCGACTTAGGTCAGTCGCGGCCGAGATTCGCACTTACGACCTCCCGATCACGGAACGAGCGCTCTACCGACTGAGCTACCGTGAACGGTTACAGTTCGAACATGAAAACCTTATCGGGGGATTTTGGTTGGATACTTCTTATTGACAAGCAGTTTTCTTTCACCCCCCCCCCCATATATATATATATATATATATATATATATATATATATATATATATATATATATATATATATATATATATATATATATATATATATATATAATCATAAAATAAAAGAAAAAGAAAATGCACGTTTCCAAATTTCATTTAACACAAGCGCTTTCTGGATTTAACAATTCTTCTTCAGGTGTACATACTTTGAGTATGTATGTGTTCAAAGTATGTAGACCTGAAGACGGATTGTTAAATCTAGAAAGCGCTTGTGTTAAATGAAATTTGGAAACTGTGCAGTTTCTTTTATGATTATTTTTACTGTGTGACATCATCTTTTAACTACTTTTGAATTATATATATACGAGGGGTGATCAAAAAGTTCGCGAACTATCTCTATATTTACAAAACCACAATTCAGATGAGAATGAAATTTGGCACACAAATAGTCATACACATGTTCTATAAATAACATATGTCAAATAATGTTTTGCTCGGTGTTTGTGACGTCACAATGTGAAAATGACGTCAATATGTAGGTCACTTGTGACAAAAAATGGTTGACTCAGTCGTACTCGAGCAACGAACGGCTGTAAAGTTTAACGTATATCTTGGAAATTCCTTTGCAGTAGAATATGATAATTTGTACAAGGTTTATGAAGACAAAAGACTTACCAGAAGTTCAATCATTAATTGGATTGATTGTTTAAGTAAAGACAGGGAGACGGTTAAAAATGATGTTTGTTCTGTTGCCCAGCGAAAGCAAGCCGGGCAAAAGATGTGTCCTTAGTTGAGCAATTTTTTATGAAACATCGTCAAGTAACAATTAGAAAATGGTTGTATATCTTAAAATAACATAATTATTAAATCTCTAAAATATCGTTTACTTTAGACTTTAAACATATGAGATATGATAAAAAGAAGGCGCCCATACTTTATCCACATTGGAAAAACGACTCTCCGGAGGCAGAGGACTAGGGTTGTGATGGGTCACCATACTAATTGTGGGAAGGGATATCCTTATCCACCCATCCTATTGCCGAAATTTGGCCATTTCTGACAGATGGACTGTTTTTGTTATAAAAAATAACTTGCATGGTAAGAAATGTAAGACTCGGAAAGATCGTTTTGCTTCGCTGAACAGACTGCTTCGGAGCATGTCACGTGACTGCCTGGATCACGTGATTCGCGCATGGGCAGAACAATAGCAGATGTGCATTAAAATCGGAGAGGACTACTTTAAAAAATAATAAACACCGAAACTTCATTCTATTTCTTTTAAAGAATTTATTCAAATGAAATTTGGAAACGTGCATTTTCTTTTTCTTTTATGATTTTATATATATATATATATATATATATATATATATATATATATATATATATATATATATATATATATATATATATATATATATATATATATATACAGTGGCTCAACGTTATTGTTGACAACTTATACGAACGATCACGTTACACGAACGATTCCGCATTATTAACGCACGATAAAATCTGTTACACGAACGATCCTTCATGCACACGATTCTACACGTTACACGGTCTTACACGATTGCTAACGCAATATACTTATTTTAGATTTCAAATAATTATTGATATTATTTCATCGACTTTGAAAAATGAAAAAAAAAGAAAGAAAAAAAAAAGAAAAAAGAAATGGATATTTCTGGAACTAAATACAATTCATGTAAGACTTATTTTAGATTACAAATAATTATTTACGTAATTCTCTGGATCCGGTTGCACGAACGTTAGTTAAATTAACTCCCAGTTAGTGCCGTAACTAGCTGTTAAATTTTTATCGACGAGTTACGTAACTGTCAGTTAAAATTTTGTTGTTCGAAAGCCTATTAAAAATAAATTAGCTAACTCACATTTAATTGATGTCTTATAGTTAACTTTCAGTTAAAATCGTTCTACACGCGCGCGTTCCCCGTACCTACGGGCTACGGCGAAGTAAAAATGGCTGCAAGTGTAAAGCGAGAGAGAAGTACCAACTGGTCCTTGGCCGAAATAACTGTTTTAACAGATTTCGTCGAAAAGAACGAAGAAGTTCTTAAAGCCAAACAGAGCAATTTGATAACAAACGCTAAAAAGAACAGGAAATGGGCAGAAGTGACAGATCTGGTCAATGCAGTTGGGGTACAACGCAGGTCGGTAGAACAAGTGAGGTTTAAGTGGGGGAATCTGCAACAGGGGGCTAAGAAGACATTTACAGAGGCCCGTAAACATGCCAGGAAAACAGGCGGTGGACCTCCACCAAAACCCCCTACTGCCGGCGAGGAGAAGATAATTGATTTAATGAAGGACAAGCCAAATTTCTGTGGGATTGCTGGGGGCTTCGAGTCATCAATGCCAGGCACAACAGGTATAACAACAAATATAGAATGTAACATGTAAAGAAGTCAATAATTAACTCGAAAATATAACATTTTAGTTATTTAAATTAAAATACTTGTAGTCCACAGACATCAGATGTTCGTATGCTTGTTTACATTAGGCCTATCGTCATGATGACGTCATATTTCAGATTAGCCTATACATGTACCTAGGTTTGAACTTACGTTAACTAGATATGAATGCCTATATTGGTGTTTAAAACAGACTGATTTGTTCCAAAGATAATGAAGCGATTTCTTGATCCTAGTAAACCCTTTAACTGGAATTTCATTAGCAAATCATAAAATTCTTACTTGCTACAGCTGCATAGATGATCACATGCTTCCACCATGCTATCCTTTAAGTGCTCAATCATGGCACATGTATAAAATCCATGGATAAAATGTATCAGTAATGCAGTTGAATCTGTAGAACGCAAAACAGTATAATCCTTTCACTCAACCTTGTTGGGACCGTGGGTTTTCGACGATGTGGAAACTCATTCACAATGCATTGCGTTTGCGAACATGACGTCACAAATGGGGCACTAATAGGGTGTTAGATGCGTTACTCAGAGAGAGAGAGAGAGAGAGTAGACTCTACTCTAAAAGATGGAAGAACATACTGCATAGCATTACAAAGATCTAGCTCAGATTGCGGAACATTAATTTCAAACTATTCTGGAATTGAAATTACATCTTGATTTATTGTGCGTAATAAAATATCTTAGGTGGATTAAAATACAATCCAATGTGATCTTGTTTATCAAAATTCTGAGTTTGACCTTTTTTGAGTGGGTGTGCACACACCCCATCCCCTTGGGAAAAAAATCGTAGATCCACGCATGTACTCGTACACATATTATACATGTAGTGGATATAATCATAAATGTTCAAATTCATTCCATGTACTCTCAGTATCTTTGTACACTCTATATTATGCCGTGAGATATTTATTACTTTATACAAAGATACGACTCAGATTGCAAAACAGTTTCAAACTATTCGGGAATTGAAATTACGTCTTGGTCTATCGTATTGGAATATCTTAGCGGGTGGATTAAAAAAAATCAACTTCGAACTGGAATTACAATCCAATGTGTTCCCAGACTTCCGCATAGAATTGTATTGAGGATAATCCTGTTAAAAAATCTCAGACGTGTACATGTATAAATTCATGATTTGTGAGATCGAAAATTGTACGTCCCGTCATTTGTAACTAAAAATATGGGGTGTAATGTGAGATGTGCCTGCAATGTAGAGAGAAATCTTCGAAAATTATATCTGGACTTTCAGCATCCGACTGTGCTAAAATTTATCGCATACCAATCGTAAGTTTCCGTGACATATAATTACGGTCATATTAAAAATCGACAGACATGTTTACTTGCAGATTTGTTTATTTGTTTGTTTTGTTTATTTTATTTTTTTAATTAATTTTTTTTTTGGGGGGGTGCATGTTTTATATTTTTCGACAAATGCCATTTTAATGGTACGAATGTAATACGGACTCACGGAACGAACTGATTGTTGCGAAAATTTTCAGGTGAACTCATCAAAATATGGTAGTTCAAGGTGTTTGCCTTTATTATTATGACATGTCAAACGTTGCAATATTCGATCTTTCGCATTTGTATTGTATAACTTTCCATTTGTATTGTATACTTTTTATTTGTATTGTATAATTTTTCATTTGTATTGTATAATTTTTTATTTGTATTGTATAATTTTCCATTTGTATTGTATAATTTTTATTTGTATTCTATAATTTTCCATTTAGATTCTATAATTTTCCATTTGGATTGTATTACGTTTATTTGTATTCTATATTTTCAATTTGTATTGAAAAAATCATTAGTATTGTATAATTTTTCATTTGTATGCTATATTTTCCATTTGCATTGTATAATTTTTTCTTTGTATTGTATAATTTCTTATTTGTATGCGATAATTTTTCATTTGTATTGTATCCGAGGACTGTTTACTTATTTCGTTACGAAGGATATCATTGGCCATTAGTCTGTATAAACGTTTCAGGTGCCCAACACAAACTTATTCTGGTACCCTTCCCACAATTTCGATCGAGCACTCTGTACAAACATAAACTCAGCTCCTCTATTTGCGTGCATGCTAAGGGACTACCATTTGATTCTCGGGGGGGGGGGGGTCGAATCCGATTATTTATTTTCATTCTCTCGCAGAAGAGAATATTTATTTCCAATATGACCAGAGACAAGGAGAAAAAGTAAAAGAAGAAAATCAGCCCAAACCCGAAAACTCAGTTTCTTGGGGGTGGGGGAGGGGGTGGAGGTGGGGGTAGGTACCACCACTCAAGGTCAAATTATTTATTTTTTCAGTCAACATTTCTAAGGACAAATTATTTATTTGCCATCTTCCAGCACTCCCTTTTTAGAATCCAATGACCGTTCTAACATGCACGCAAATACATATGAGCCCAGTTTGCTTTGAGCACCCGGAACATCTTCAACCCGATACCTGCTGAAATTTGACCAATGAAATCCTTCGTAACGAAACAAATAAACAGTCTGCGGATACAATACAAATGAAAAATTATCGCCTACAAATAAGAAATTTTACAATACAAATAAGAAATTATACAATGCAAATGGAAAATTATAGAATACAAATAAAAATTATACAATACAAATGAAAATTATACAATACAAATGAAAATTATAGAATACAAATAGAAAATTATAGAATACAAATAAAAATTATACAATACAAATGAAAAGTTATACAATACAAATAGAAAATTATAGAATACAAATATAAATTATACAATACAAATGGAAAATTATACAATGCAAATGGAAAAGATCGAATATTGCAACGTTTGACATGCCATATATTATACGAGATGAAAAGTATATAGAATTACACGCAGAGTGTTTGCGATAAGAGATTAAGCAAGTGAGGTAAACATCACACTAAGAATTTAGAGTTTTCTGAAAAGTGGAAAAGTGGAAAAGTTTTACTTTGAACTCTGATAATGTGTGTCCCTTTTTTATATAATCACATCATTAACATATAAAAGGTTTTAATCAGAAATTTCCGAAATACAAATGCACGAGCAAACTTTACTTTGAGGGGAATATTGTACTTCCGAACGAAATCCTTACGCGTTTAAAGGAAACAAGTTTATTCACCCTGTAACTATTTAAATATTAGCATCTCAATTAGATATGCATCCAAATAAAGCTCCTTTTAGTACTTAACATGCTATGAAAGATTTAGAAAAAAGATGTCAGTGCAAAGTATAACAAAGAAGTGCAAGGCGTCATGTGTACGTAAATTTACATCATATGGAATCAAAAGTGATCGTCCGAAGCCGATCACAAAAGTGATAAGTCTGCAGTTTCAACAAAATAAAAAAGATCGGAAATCATGTTCCGTGAATAAAGGTGGGATTTTTTTCTCATTCTCAGCAGAAAAAAGTTTGATACAATATTATATAGTTTAATACAACATCACGTAGTAAATTTCGAGCATACTGCAGCTAAAAAAAAAATTAAAAGATTTTAAAGGGGGGGGGCTTTGAATGAAAATTTCCATACTAAATTTTCAGCAATAATGTCCGTATCTTCTGTTTTAGAAGATATACCCTGCTCTTCAAAGTCCGCCTCGACTCCCAGTCTCAGTTCAGTATCCGAGTGCAGCGAAGCAGCAACGCAACAACCTAGTGAGAGGGAAGCAACAACGCAACAACCTAGTGAGAAGGAAGCAACAACGCAACAAGCTAGTAATGAAGAAGCAGAGATGCAGCAAGAGTCGTCGGTTGAGTCAAAAAGTGAACCCGCAAGGTATCACCTTGTTATATGTACACGACATATAGCATAAATCTCGTGTGTACAGATAATTATGTATCTTTATTTCCTTTATAAATTAAAAACAGATTTTTGAAAATACACTTTGAATTTTAAAAATGAATTCTTTTGCGATGTGATTGTGTGATTGCTATACAGACATGTGGAAAGCAATTTCTAATTTTAGAGAGGGGGCACCCAACAGGCTTGGTTCTTATTAGACTTCTATATGAATCAGACAATCTACTATTTAATTTAAGGACCAATTCATTAAATTAAAATATATAAATATGTAATTACGTCAATAGAATATAGGGAGATCCTGGATTGGGGGGGGGGGGACTTTTCTCATTGATAACAGGCCCGTAGGAAGCAATTTCAGTTTTTTTTTTTTTTTTGGGGGGGGGGGGGGCACAGGCATACATTTTCAGTTGAGGGGCACTATCAACTACCAAAAATTCTTTGACAGGCAAAAAAAAAAAAAGAAAAAAAAAAATCTTAAGACGTTTTTATTGAGGGGGCACAAGCATGTAGTAGCCATGTTTTCTACAGTAATCTATGTATCGGAAAAATTATTGGGGTGGCACGCCCCCCCCCCCGTGCCCCTCCGGTTCCTACGGCCATGGACAATCCACATTCCTACATACATGTATTAACCGAGTTGGGGGGGTCCTGATTTTTTTTTGGGGGGGGGGCATTTTTGCTTACTTAACCATATGAATTCAATAACTTTTGAAATCCCGGAGATGTTTTCCTTTCTTTATGGAAGAAATGAAACGCAACGCATTATATACGTCATAATATAAAGTAAAAAGGTATTACAAAACAGGTTTTCGGACTGGATCTTTCAATGGGTCCGAAAAACGCATGTTGCTCTCGAATCCATTTGATAAATGTACAGATATAATAAAGACTTCGCATCACGTTTTATTATTTTTTTCGGCGGGGGAAGGGAGGCATTCAAAAGTATCTGAACGGTAAACAGATGTGATAGAATGCGTCTGTATGATTTTGGTATACGGTTTACAACGTACAGAATTCCTCCTTTCAAAACAAAATAATAAATTAAAAAACTGTTAACTCCATGGACTTTAATATAACATTTGGTCCATTGATTCACAAATTCCACAACGTTTAATTTGTAATATTAGCGACATAAAAATGTAATTTGGTCACGTTTCTTAAGAATGACTAAAATGACTGTGATAATGATACTGAAATGATAGAATATTGCAGTAATGGGATTTCAACATTAATGCTACATTGCAAAATAGTCCAATAAAATGTATACTATTTTGTAGCGGTAATGTCATTTTTTTTTGTATCGGTATTAAATGAGCATGTAGCGGTAATGACTATTTTGAAAATGTAGCGGCAATGAAATTCATAATTATATACTGAAACGCAAAAGAAACGCAACTAGCAGTAATCTACAAATATTTGAACCTTTTAACTAATGATTTTCAAAACTGGTTTCGGTTAAGTTAAACTCGATTTAAAAGCATCAAAGATTTGATAACAATGTTAAATGATTACCTTTTAACTTTAGAAAGTAACACATGACTGTTAAAACACCCCCCTTCCCGGCCATTCAATTATAGCGTGGAAGACTGTCATGCACAGCAATTGCAGCTTGATTTCCACGATGCAGTAAGTTCATCAATCTCGGGATCTGAGCGAAAAAAATATTCTTTGCCATTTTTAAATGTCCGTTTTTCAGATGATGAAGTCGAATTTTCTCTAACCTAGCGCAGTATAGTAACACTTGGACTTCCGGTCCACGGACTATCATTCATGCTAATGATACGTATGAGCCTGTTGAGGCGTGTTGTCGGGCATTTTTGCATCTGCAATTCTCCATCACCTTTATTTTCAGCTTTTCCAGCAAGAGCATTTGAAATGCGTACTTAAGTCATTTTCAGAAAGCTTTGGCATCTCTTCCGGAAACGAAAGGAGAATTTATTTTGCGAAATATTGCTGCATTACATATGATTAACAGATACAAACCCTTAAAACCCCATATTTTTGTCAAATTTTTTGTTAAACATGCAATTTTTTATTTCTGTTCAGCGGGCTCAAACTTAACTTCCGGTTATGGCATGAAAATCATTCAACCGTTAAATTATCGATACTTACAATGTTGAAGATATCTATACTTTTTAGATACAAAATTATATCCTTTATATGATTTTCCCCTCTAAAATAGGATGTTGCGTTTCTTTGGCGTTTCAGTATAATAATTAAATAGATTATTATAGTTTCTGTGTGTAGCTTTCCTAGTTACTTTTTTCAATTATAGCGAAGGTGATATAATTTCTCCTCCACCTGCGCAGGCAAAGAGAAGGAAGGTCTCCCTTGAACAACTTCAAAAGATGCAGTATGAGGTAAAACAGAGCTGCATTGTACATTTACACTTGTTCCGTTCTGCAAGTGAAAAGAATACTTAATCAGATGTGTCGTTTAAATATTTCTGCTAAATAAAATTTATATAAGACTGGGAAAGTTAGAAACGACAAATAACAAAAAAATTGTTTCATTCTGAAGGTTTTATGCTGTCAGAAAAAAAACTTCGAACTGCAGAACATGAAGCTCCTTAGAGACTTAGAACGGACAGACCTCGAGAAGAAGAACATTCAACTACAAAATGCCAAGCTGGCGCTACAGATTGAATGCCTGAAGCAGACTGTCTCTCAGAATGAAAATGCTCTACTAGCACTCCACGCAATTACCGATGAATAAAATGATATATATAATAACTGTGTATAATAATAAATATCATATAATCACATCATTAACATATAAAAGGTTTCATTCAGAAATTTATTTCTGTTAATTCAAATTAGAAATAGGTTCTGGTGATAAAGTTTCTGATTTCTCTTCCATCCTCAGGTCCACGATAAGCCAAATGAATAGCGGGGTCGTTATCTTGTTCATCCTCATCCTCCATCTCTTCCTTAAGAGACAATGCAATATTATGCAGAATTGCACATGCACCAATTATTCTGCAGACTTTTGCAGGCTTCATTTTAATTTCACTATGCAGGACATGGAACCTTCTTTTCCACCACCCAAAAACTCGCTCAATGGTATTTCGTGTGCGACAATGGGCTGCATTAAAGGCTTCCTCGGAAGGGTTCGCAGGGTGGAGATACGGGGTAATGAGAAACCTGGAACAAGCATAGCCGCTATCACCAAGAAGATAGCCGTCCTCAACACCATGATGGTTTCCTTCTAAGAATAAGCAGACGTCAGACGTCCGAAAAATATGACTATCGTGGGTACTGCCAGGCCACCGTGCATTGATGTTTATAAATTTCCCTGAATATAAAATGAATTGTATAGATTATTATGTTTTCAAGGAGAGTTCAAAATATAGTATGATAAAGATCATGTTCAGAAATTCCCATAGCATCTAGATTTGGATTTAGATTGGAGTGAATTCAGTACAAATGTATTTCTTTGAAAGTTTATCCGCAAAGTTTGCTTAAAAAATATACATGTTTAGTTAACAAAAACTGGAGCAAAGAGTTTCTATTCTTTAAATACTAGTATACACTTTTATGACACAGCATTTGTATAGATCTTTCCGAGAAATACTTGAGTCCATTTAGTCTAGCCCGAGGTCATATCACATACATGATTTAAATGGTGAAACGTTGTGGTTCACATGTTAGTCTCAAAGGAAAATGATACTCTGGACTTTTATTGCTAAGATTCGAACCCCCAAAAATATCACACAGGGTTTAAATATACAGTAGCCCGGGGCTAGTCATTTTAATAAAAATTTTTGCATAAAAAATTGTTGGGATAGTTAGTTTGAGGTTTGGGCTAGCAATTGTATACTGCTCAGTAGCCCCTGGGCTAGTGGATTTTTCATGAGGAAAATTTCAACCCCTGCCATATTAATTATTTAAGTAATAAAATAAATTTTGTTGAGAAAAATTTCCTCAGAAAAGTCTCGTTTGTCATATTTTCATAAGTTTCAATAACAATAACTTTACTGTAAATACTAAATTCACAAATTGAATATGATTTTTATATAAATATCTCTGTAGCTGTACACATTCTGCACGCCTTGTTCGCCAACTCCTTTTTCGGGGGGGGGCACATTTACACTGTTTTTAATATGTAAATCCACAATATATAAATAGTTTTTCATAACCGCAGAATGTTAAAGCAGGTTGCAGTAACGTAATTTTCTGTATATCCCTACTTTTACTACAATCATACAGCTAAACATGCGGTATAAATTAAAACAAACAGTCCTTTTCCAGATCTTGTTCTCAACGAAGCCAAACGAAAAAATTAGAACTGTTGAAGATTTTTTTTTCGGAATAAAAATAAAACTGAGATCAATATATGATGAGATACTACACTACTACATGCATGTACCTTCATGGTCACAAATGGCCTGTACATTGATGGAATGATACCCCTTTCTGTTAACAAAGACTGCCTCTTCTTCCGACGGCGCTTGTATTCGAACATGTGTTCCATCGACACAACCGATGACTCCTGGAAATCCTCCCCTTGCAAAGAAATTTTGTTTTGATCTAACAATCTACTCTTGATTGGGCCACTTTATAAATCTGTCTTTATTTGCAAGGAGTGCATCAGTAACATTGTTGATGGCTCTGCAAACTGTACTCTTGTCTAACCCCATAGTATCGCCTATCACCTCCATAAAACTCCCAGACGCATAAAAGCGAAGCGCCAGCATAACCTGCAAGGATTTCATACTGTTTTCAAAACTTTTCTGTTGGTTTAAAAATGTATTCAAAAGGGTCTAATGAGGGCACATGTTTTTACGTCGCTGTCAGCATTCTTGCATAAATTTATGACGTCACAATCAAAATGACGTCATTTTATAAGCGTTAATTTACTAAGATTATTTACTTTAAAATGAGATGTTACTTCTTATATTGTTACTTAAGAAGTTATGATTTTTTACATCAATATTATGTGTTATTAATGATTATCAATACTTGAAATATAAACAATGTAGCTATAGGTTTTTAATTACTAAAAACATGGATTTTTACATTGATACTACGTGTATAGTAAAAACTGATAATTACGTTAAACAATGCAATATTATTTACAAATTATGTAGTTTCTACGTCATATTGAGGCATGAAGCACTATGATCGATATAGTATTTTTAGAGGTAAGTCTGACAAGGCAAACCAAGAGAAGTTTCATAAAACACTTATGCAAAATGTATATATTTATATTTCTAGTATGATGTCTGTGATCTATTTTTCAGTAATTGATCCTGGGATTATGCTGTAGTAAAATGTTGATCTTTTTAGATAAAAAGTTTAAATATCCACGTAATAACAATTCATGTATATGTACTCGGAGAAAAAAGTACCTGCATTTCCACAGATATGGACTGACTTCGTTTTGTTGCTCTTTGCAGATCATTTCGCAGCATGTCCGAAATATATGTAATTGAATCTCGTTTAAGTCGAAAACGTGATCGAATCTGAGTGTCACTAAGTCAGACATTTCCATTCTCTCTCTGTAATTTCTCTCCTTCCTCTCCGCAAACAAATTCCCGAACAATAACAAATCCGCCATTTTGATTTTTAATGTTTAATTAAATATTTAATGTACCTAGGTAACCTATAAGAAAACCATTTTTTTTTCCCCTTCTATTAGAAGATGTACATGTAGGTGGACCGTGAGTTTTGATTGAATTGGATTTCATAATATGCAGAAAGGGATAAGTGTGAAAAAAATGGCATGAAAATGAATTAAATTCGAAGTTATATCCATGTTTCCCTTTGTGAATCTCAAAAATCAACAATTATTTTACAAATCATTTATTTGAAGAAATTATTGTCTGACGTCATGGCGTCAGACAGTATTAGATTTAGCCAAGGCTTGTTGGTCAAGTCGTTCAACAGAATTCTTGTGATAACTTGATCTTGGAAACTTCATATTATCTTAACTATCAATTGGAGAGCAAACGTGCTAAACACCCAAACAAGCCAGGGCATTGGATCTGATGCCATTATTATCACATTACACATTACAGGTTACATAACATTTGACCATACTCGAAAATTGCATCATTCATGTCCAGCAAAATAGAAGGAATGAAGTTGGTCAGGTCAACACTGTCAGATAAACTATTGGATGTTTATTTTCAATGTATACACTATGTCCCTCTACCTTTAGAATTTTTATAAATCTACACATATTCATAACTAGCAGACGTTTGATTTATTCATAGTTTTAAAAAATATCAAAGTTAAGGATAGATGTTGAATATATTCGTTTGCTTTAAATTAATTGCAAAGATATTAGCTCATTTGAAACACGTTTATTATTTTTAATAAGACATTTCTTAATTATCAAAATTGTTCACCAAGTGATGCTTAGATTTTTATGTGTTGTAACTTTTTCTTTCAAAAGCACTGGTTATATCTTTCTTTCTTTCTTTTTTTTTTTTTTTTTGCCCGTTGAAAAAAATAAATTTCAGAAAATTTCAGTTTCGGGTGGACACAATCAAGGAAAAATTCCTTATCGGGCATTAAAAAAAATTAAGATATCTGAAGTTAATATTTACATGATTTAGGGAACACAAGCATAAAGTAGCTATGTATAAATCCCCGAAAATTATTGAGCTCACGGTCCCAGACCCCCCCCCCCCCTCCCCGGTTCCTACGTCCATGAAAAAAAGAATTTAAAAGTAATATTAGTGTATACAGAATCACGCCTCTGATAGAATAAACTCATGTCCAAGTTTCTGATTTGAACTTTTCTTGTTTCTTAGTGCTAATTCATTTCATGACTCAGAGTCCTGTTGATTACACTGAATTTAACTTTTCTTGATTCTTCGGGTAAAAATAAATTTGCTCAAGTCAGACAAGCTTTTTAGGAAAGCTAATACTTGTAATAATAATTATAAGTAAGATTCAGAGATAAACACTGATAAACGAATCCCGACAATCATGTCGCGTACATATGTACATTCGCCGACTAAACATTTATGTAAGCAATGAGAATTGTTTATTTATTTATTTGTAAAAAATACCTTATTTTGATCTATTGATTTTAAAATATCTTGACTATAATTAGCAGTAAACATAATGAACATCAGAGAAAAATCCTTAAACATCTACTAGTAAGTACGGTTTATCACAGAAAATCACGCTATTTAAGGAGGACACAATATTGTACGACTTACTATATTGCTTATTTCCAAGCGATAATTAGTTCGTACTGCTTTCAATTACGTAAATCGCGCTTCATTTATTTTATTTGGATTGAAAAAACAAAACAAAGCAGACAAGCGAAATGCTTGTATAACAAATAACATTCCGATAAAAACTTACAAAACGAAATTTACACGTTTCTTAACGCACGATCACGCACGATTAAAACCGCAAACGATTCAGTCTGATACACGCACGATCTCGCACGTTACACGAACGATCACGCACGTTACACGAACGATTCTACACGATTGGTTTGTCAACAATAACGATGCAGCCGATATATATATATATATATATATATATATATATATATATATATATATATATATATATATGTATATATATATATATATTAGGGATGGCAATTTGTAATCGGTTAACCGGTTACTCGGTCGGAACGATGTTAATCGGTTAGAAAATCTGTAATCGGTTAATCGGGAAAAAAATTAATATATGTGTAAATTTTAATACAATATCCTGAAAATTCAATTTCAAAAATATAAATAAAAT